CGCCAATACTTCCGAAAAGTGCTCCTTGAGGTCGTCTATCGTAGGGCGATGCCTGTTACTCCGAAGTTTACCATCACTCACTAGGTACGGGATGTCGTCCTTGACCTGCAAGTGCACGAATCCCTGCTTTGGCGTAACCATGAAAGGTAGTTTACCAGGCATCCAGTGAAATGCATAACCCATCTTCATGCATCTCCTCCCCACTGACAATACCGTGGGTGTCTCATCCAATACATGCGGCTCGACAGTCTCGTCCAACTCGTCCACGACTATCTTGGCCACATCAGATGTGGAAGTGGAACCATTCGCGGTCTGGAACACGATCTCGTCGTCATCTTTCACGATGTCGACACCCAGGCTCTTCGCCTTGGCTCTTCCAATGAGATCATGACCACATCCGGTGTCCATCAACCATTTCACCCGTTTGTGATGCACGTTGACATGGCGAAAACGTTCTTCGGCATACCATGCTGCTTCTTCCAGTCGACAGCCGATTCCTTGATCTCGTCCTTGTTCCGATCATACTCGAACATTATGCTGCTCTCCTTGGTCACCGGGAAGTAGTGCTTCCTATATACATCATCCACCACTTCTCTCAGTATCTTCGCACGTATCAATGATCGTTGGACTTGGTAGGCTGATAATTCACGATGATCACTGCTTTTGAACTTCTTCTCGTCGACGTACACGTACTGATAAGGCTCATTCTCATTGTCCTCATAACCGTTCCATTCCCCTTTTCGTTCCCATTGCCTTCTCTCGTCTTCGAGGTAGGTGATCTCCCCATTCTCGTCGACGTCGAGCACTTCCTTGAACCACACCATTTTCTCGGGAATCTCGGACTCGCCAGACCATCTCGATGATTCGCTCATCGCGTCGTCATCGTGCTCGTGGTAGACAGTCTCGGCTTCGTCCGGTTCGACCTGATCAACGTCCTTCTTGAAGCTTACCTTCCCTGCAGGAGCCGATTGCTTCAGGACTATCGCGGGCATTGCGCTGGCCCTCCTCGCAATGGCAGGCGCTGCGGCTTTGGCGGCAGCCTTCGACTTGGCTTGCGCCTTGTCATTTGACGTTGCTGGAGCTGAATTGTTCTTGATGAGCTCATGCCTATACTTGCAAGCGCTTCCCTTATCGCACTTCCCCTTCTGAAATGCGAAGCATGCTCCATCATCTCTCTTTGGTGACGATGATCTGGACTTGGATTTGCCCTTTCCTTTCCCCTTGGACATACTCTCCAACTTGTGCTCCGTCTTCTTGCTGTGGGAAAAAGTGCATTCATTACCTTTCACGCACCCCTTCGCCGATTTGAAGTGGTACCAGCAGGGGTTATCCTTGCTTCCGCCCGGACTCGTGCCTCTGTCGCTGGCACCGTCGGACTTGCCGTTCTTGCCAGCGTGGCCCTTTGCCTTGGCTTTTGGGAGCACAGGAGCGGCATCAGGTCCACCGGGTTTCCCTTTTCTGCCCTTGCCACCCTGGTTCTCCTGTTTGCCAGTTGCTGGAGCCGCATCCTTCCCGCCTGACTTCATCATCGACTTGACCGATTTCTCCTTCATGTCGAGCATCAGGTCTTCCCGATCTGCCTTGATCTGATAGTCGATCAACGCCAATAAGAATTCATCCGTCTTCTGAGGATGCTTGTCCGGTAGTCTATGGTAGGCATTGAGGCCGAACTCCATCTTCTTGCTCCCTTTGATCTTCCTGTAAAGGATGTCTCTGAGAGCCAGCTTACTGGGTCTGTCCTCGCTCCTCATCTTCAGCAGCAAATCATACAATTTGTTCCTGAACATGACCAAGTTCTTGTCGCCAGGAAAGTCAAGGTTGAATAGATGCTCGATGTGGTAGACAAGATCCGTTCTATCGGAAGTTCTGAATGATTGCATAACTAATGCCACCAACTCTCGTCCCTTCACGATCACCCCTTGTGGATGTCGTAGTTCAGAGTGTCGTGTAGCATCGAGGTATACGTCCTTGGCTTCGTCAGGTGCTTGTTTCAGCATGTTCTGCATGCCCATGGCCATCTTAATATCTATCGTAGCAAATCTGTCGACACCTGAATCGCTAAGCAAATCCAGGTCTGGGTTCAACCCAAGAGCCTGCTCCAGCCATTTCGTCCATGCGTCGGTATCTGGATCTGCACATGCGCTCAGAACATTCATCAGCAGTTGCATCTTCCAGGTGTCAAGTTGATGGATCTTTGGCCAGGCCGGAATAGATACTCTCTCGGCCTCTTTCCTCGAGATTCTCGGTCGATCATTCTTGATCTCTCGGTTATCTCTCGATCTCCTTCGTCTCCTCCGTGTCCGATCGTCTTCTTCCTCTTCTTCTTCCTCGTCTTCCTCATCTCCTTCGTCGTCGTCATCCTCATCCTCATCATCGGGTGGATCATCCGGAGGTCCTCCTCCGCCACCAGCGAGGCTCAACTGACGTCGACCCGCTCCCTGCCCATTCCCATTGGGCGGGCGGGAATCCACCGTAATCCAATGGGGGCGTAGTACCGTTGTTTCCCCCCCCCATCACCACCACCAGTCGTAGTAGTGGATTGTGGGACATGCCCAACAACCCCTTGCATCTGGGATAGGTGTACATCGATCATTGGATCACCGAAAGACGGAAAGAGGATCGAACCTGGCATCAGCGACGAATTAGGGATTTGATTTGAAGACGATGACGGGACTGACCCAGCCACCTTCTTGTCTATCCTATTTGAATTAGCCTGGGTTCCTCCCTCAGCGCGTTTCACTACTGCTCGTTCACGATGTCCATCTTCGCTGCTGGAGGCTTCCTGTGTCTCCAGCTTCTTGTGTGCACGTAGTTCCTCGTTGTCAGCATCGAGTTGGCGTACAAAACTCTCTTCTTGCTTGAGCGTCGCCTCTCTTTCTTTCAGTTGACTCTGAAGCTCATGCATCTCCTCGAGGTACTCATCGTACATTCCCTTAGCTGTCAATCTCCAGTACTCAGCCTCCTTCGACTTCTCGTCCATCGTGCACCGTTCCTCTTGTTTCTCTTCTTTGACCTGGGCTAACTCCAAGATCGCATCCTGACGATGACCACCTTCGACAGCAATCATCTGGTCCTTCATCGACACATCGGACTCATACTGTTTGACGATCTCTTCTTTTTCGCGAAGCAAGCAATCTGCTCTCTTCGATTCCTGTTCCGCAAATAATGTAACGTCATTCAGCCTCGCCATCAGCTGTTCCCTGGAGTCCTCCAAAGAGTACGTCTCGGGGCGCTTGACGAGTGCATGCTCCAACTGTGATTTCAGACTTTGGACCATCTCCTCCTCGTTGAACTTCTCGATAGATGTAGAAGATTCTATGCCTCTGATCTGTTGCTGATAAGCTGTTATCTGTTGTGAAGCCTCACGGTGTATCTGATTTGCACGTATAGCTGATTCCTGCGCGGCCGACTTCTCGCTTGCCATGTAGGATTTCATCAATGCAATCTCCCGCTTCTGCTCCATGATAGTTCCTTCAGCTTGCCTCATCTGTTGCATTATAATATTCGACTCCATGTCTTTCTTCTCCCCGTACTGGAATGCGTTCATTTCTACCTTGCGCATCTGTTGGGCTTCTTCCTCAAACTTGCGCCATGCCTCAGCCATGTGGTGTTGGTGGTGACTCACTAGATGTCCCGACTGCTTGCTGGCAATCTCGCATCGTCTTTCCAGCTCCTGGATCCGGATGGTGCTTCCATAGTCTTCTTGGTTAAGATTCGCCATTGCTGCCGACATCTCATCAAGTGTCTTCTGATATTCCCCGATCTCCACCTCCATCTTATTCTTCTCTTTGATCACGGCGCGAAAATCTGCACTGGTGGGTGATTTTGACCTCCCACCCTTCGATGTCGATCTCACGCCCTTCTGCGACGTCCGTGGTGTCGCAGGCGAAGATGATGATCTTCACGGTGGGGATTCTCTTTTCTTCGACTCCTGATGAACATCGATCTGCTTCCATGATCTTGTGGGAGTAGATATGTCGCTGAATAGCGCGGAACCTCCGCTCCCAGGTTCATCCTGTGAATCTGCAACCATATCCATCACCGCAGGAAGAGCCATCAATCCATTGGATCCCTCTGAGCTGCTGTTCCCAAAAGTTGCAGTACTGGGGCTCGCCGAAGACGCCATTGTACTGTGTAGGTTATCGTTCCTTTATTGTCCCTGTACCCGCAATAAACCAGCTGTCTCCCAGTCCAGTGTAGAGCTTGTAGTTACGGCTGATAACCTGTCAAGAGACGGCAAGGTGACGTCCCGTGGGACGCTATGCATCGAACCCTCAAGCTGTAATACCAACCACGTAGAAAGGTGTATACGGACGATGCCGTTATAGCCGAACCCGTGTAAACGTTGTAAGGGAGAAGGAATGATAGTTACAACAGTAGTCCTGACAAATGCAGCGCAAGCGAAGTGTTTTCGCTCTCAATGCCGATCACGTAGGTATGCAGTCACACATCAGATCTTGAACCTCAATTGTGTCTTGAGCCTTGAGCCAAATGGCGATCAATGGAACTTGGGAAGCAACACCAACAAGGACCTCAGAACAGCTACCCAATTTCGGCACGGGGCCTAGAGGGTTTTAACACATTAAAATGTAACCCGCCGAAAGGCGGTTAGCTGGTTAGCTCTCCTGGTGCGTCATGCCCAAACCCAGAGGAGAAGACCAAAACCCCCGTGGAAAGTTGCTCTGGGCCTTTCAACACGGATGCAAGTGGGAATCTTGTCGATAGGTCTTACCTGGCTAGTCCAAGAGGAATGCAACCGTCCCTACTTTTGGGTTTTCATGAGGTTGTCTGGGCTTTTGCTGGAGGCAAGCTTACCGCTTTGCCTGCTCTCTCTCTCTATCTCTCTCTCTCTCTCTTTTTCTCTCTCTCTCTCTCTCTCTCTCTCTCTCTGCTTCCATTTGCTTTAGCCTGGAAAACATATAGCTGTGATAGATTCCCTTCAACACCAACAAGAGAAAATCAACAACATTCTTAAGACCATGCAAGTCTGAGAGCATGGCGGAGATGGCGAACATGGGGCTGGTGGGGCTGCCCAGGGTGATGGCATCCTCGCTGGATCTATCGCTGGAGCTGCGCCCGAGGAAAGTTTCGTAGGAAATTGGTGTGGCATGAACGGAGAATTCTACTGGGAACTTCCCTCATTCTAAACCCAGGGATCCGAATCTTTCTAGAAAACCACCCAAAACCCCAGGAAGAAACAGCGATCGGTTTTTGATTAGAGCGATGGCCCAAAAGAATGGTTGGAATCAACCGACCTTTTTTGGAAAACCACAACTTTTCTGGGGGTACACCCATTTTAAGACCCACATCCATATATGTGTCAGGAAAAGTGCTGCACGCTGGTATTCCGGGCTTTGGGATATCCAGCTTCGCGGTGGGCCATTGGTGACCAGGGATGCTTGTGACTTGTGGAACCCTTACTTGGGTGTTCGGCCAAGTTAGTTGACCTACCGTCACCTCCAAATACCCGGCCTTCTAAAAAGGTGTTTGCCATGGAAACCCATGGTTTTTCAAAAAACTTGGTATCTGGAGTAGGGGGTAGGTGAAATAACCTACTGACAAGTCCGCCGTGAATGTGGGGGTTGCCTTGTTATAAGGGGGTGTATACGCAAGTGGCTGACCACTTACTAGCTTGGCCGCACACCCAAGTAAGGAGGGTAGGTACAAGGGGGTGGGTAGTTCAAGCGGGTCCTTTTTTTTGGGGTGGGGAGAATCCCCAAAAAGTGTGACTTTCCTGTTCGTTTCCCTTCCAAGCCACCGAAAAAGGCCTAACCTCACAAAAAAACAACACCAAAAACCAAGAACAGATGGTTTTGGAACCCAGGTGACTTCAGTCCACTTCCCGGTGAACTGACCAGTGAACTGTCAGTCCCATCCCGTGGCGAAAGTGGCATGTCGCTGTCCCAAACCCAAAATGGTACCATTGGTTTTGATCCACAGCCATATACATGTATATATATATATATACCCTCAGGAGCCAACGTTCGCCGTCGGTTTACTGTACAAGGAAGTAAGTAGCAGCGTCGCCAAGGTTCGGGGGGAGAGGGGGTTGGGGGGGGGGGGGGTACTAGCGTCCGTGCCAAGCAGAAACGGGGGGCGTAGTAGTGTCGCCGAGTATCTTCTGCGCGCCAGCAAACGTCCGTTCCTGCGTCGAAAACCAGTTTCCCCACTGTAATGCGAACGTCACGTCTTCGGGGGGAGGGGGGTGGGGGTGGGTGGGGTAATAGCGCACACCGCTCGCCTCGCTGTTTGCCAGCAGACGTCTTACCGCCGAAAACTATCATCGTGTCTCACGCGCTCGTCACCTTCCGGCTCCTGAGGCTAGATGTGCCGGCGACAATGTGGCCGAATCACGGCTTGGTGCTGTAAAGCGCACCATGAGACAAACCGCTTTGCTAGGGCATTTCAATGTGTCTTCATCGTGGAAGAAAACCCACGTTTTGTCCTCGGCTCATTTAACCAGAGAGCCTGGCCTTCAGGTGATGCTCAACGCATTGCGGAATTACAGGCTAGCTTGTAGTAGCGGGCAAGTGAAAACATCCCCGCGCGACGCGTTTGTCGCAGATTCTTTAGCCTGGCTGCCTGCGCAGTAAAAAGTGCTTGCGTGCGTGGGGGATCAGGGCTTCAGCATGTGCCGACGGCAAACGTTGGCTCTTGACCGTATATATATATATAACTGGGATTGACTGAGAGTTGCTGTTACTCCATGAGGGGTCAAACAATCACAAAACAGATTGCGTTGATCGTTCCTCGTTCTTTTTTGTCACGGGCTTTCCAGCATCGAGCTCTTGACAAGCAAGGGAAACATTTGCATATCCAAATCCACGGGGCTGTCCATTCGCTCATCCCCTGAAAGTTTAACATGTGGGTTAAATGGACGCCCCCACTAAACCCAGCTAAAAAAAAACTGAGGGAACGGCTGGGAACCTAAACCAAGCTCAGAAGTGGATCCTAACGTAAAGAACCTTCGTAGAAGTTTGTTCCTTTTACCCCCAGGTCCGCCGCTAGGACGGATGTTTGCATCCTGAAGAGAGGTTTTGGTGGTGATGAAAAGGTCGTAGTATTGGGCCTTTGTGGTCTCACACGTATCAGCTCCTTTTAATGTTACTCACGACATACGCACAACCATGCACGGAGCCGTCCGAAAGATCGCTGTCATCGAAGAGCTGATTTCTGCCAACGCCTCAGAGAGTTCTCTCTTCTTCGGGAGGCTTATGTAGGTTGCAACCATGGATATCAAGTGGGGCAACTGGGGGTTGGTCCCCTTTTTCATGGCTAGAATATATCCTACGTATTCAGTGGTTTGACGAAGTCGGGGAAGTAATCAACCCTAGTTTATTAACAGGGGGGTGTCCCTGTGTTTGTCGCTTTCTCAGAGGAGTACCCCCATTGGAGTGGCTTCTTCATCCGGGGCCTGATCCCCGGCAAGAAATTCTAACTTCTAGTGGGTTAAATGGAAACCGCCACGAAGCCAGCCCCAAAAACAAAAAAAAGAACCGGGTGATTCGCTGGCCACATACCCCTTACACCCAATACCCTCTTTTTTTTGGTATCATGTAAACCTTCTACAAAAAAAGGGTTTAGGGTATTTACCCTGGAAAACCGAAACCGGTTTTCCCAAAAAATGCCCTAAGAAAAGTGGGTGGCCGGGTATTTGGAGGTTATGGGGGTAGGTTCAACCAGTCTCAGGCTCTCGGCCTTCCAAGGCTCAAAGCAAAACCCACAAGACTCAGCTGGGAACCACAAAGTAAACTTGTCCCTCTGCAGTGCTTTGGGAGGAGTCCCTGTTTGGGGTAGGTTCAAAGGGAAAAGGCAAAAGGCGGAAAAAAAACAATGTGTGTAAGTTTCCCGCTTGTGGAAACCTACATACCAATATTTAGTCTGTCCTAAAATATAACGTTGGAGTTCCCGACCCCCTCCTGTTGCAGGGTTCCCGACCGAGCTTTCCCTGTGAAACATCGCCTCTACCAAAAAATGAGCTCACCTTAAACGGGGCCAAACCCTGATGTTTAAAACCATGACCCCTGTTTTGGCGAGGACGGTGGGGTCCGTATGGACACGCAGAAACATTTTGTTTGTAGCCTGATTGCTTTCCTCTCTACTCTTGGTATGGGCTTGCGAAAAACTGACTTTTTTGCAGGCTCCCAGTAAAAATGAACAGAACCAAAAAACTGAAAAAACAAAAAAACATGCCAAGAACAGTGAAGCTTTCATTGTCGAGAAGACTCCAAGTGTCCATCGACTATGTCCTCCCCACACGAGCAAGCCAGTTTCTAAGGGTTCATTTCTTTCTCAACCATCGTTCTTTCCAAAAAAAGAAGCAGTCGTTTTCCCTGGGGTTTTCTAGATAGAAGGATCCCTGAGAAAAATGGGGAAGGTACCCCTGTTCTTTACACAACGTCGTTTACCCTGGGTTTTCTAGAAAGAAGGATCCCTGGAAAGAATGGGGAAGGTGCCCCTAGATAGTTCCTGAGTGTACCCGGGGTTACGGGACTTCTCCTTAAGTTGCAAGTTACTTGTTTCAATCGAAACTGCCACTCTTGGAGGTTCCCTTTTTCCGAAATGGAGGAAACCCTGGGAATCGGTCAGGAAAAACAGAACAAGACTGCTTGGTCCCCCGGGTCCCAAAGGGAGGGGGATCAGATCAGTGGCATGGACACCTGGCTATGTTGCACCTTCAAAGCTTAAAACATCAATTCGACGCTCGTGAAGTTGGTGGCGAAACTGAGTGCGTGGACCGTCTTTGTGATTTGGGACATGAGTAAAAGCAGCTGGTGCTGGTAGGGATCCAGAATCGCAAGCTTGATCTGACTTGCTGGTGCGGTAGGCAGGGAATGTGGGAAGGAACCCAGGAATTGGTCTCCTTAAAGGGGGCCATACCCCTTACACCCAATACCCACTTTTTTTAGTTGGTATCATGTAAACCCTCTACTAAAAAAGGATGTATTTACCATGGAAAACCAGGTTTTTCAAAAAATACCCTAAAACAAGTGGGTATTTGGAGTAGGGGTTAAGGGAAAAAAAGGCAACCTCTAAATACCCACAACGGCTTGTCAACAATCAATACTCCACACCCATCAATAAAACGGGCATTTCGAGTCGGGGATATGAATGAGTTCATGCGTTCCCTACTACTTCTACTACTACTACTACTGCTACTGCTGCTGCTACTACTGCTACTACTACTACTACTGCTACTACTACTACTACTACTACTACTACTACTAGTAAACTACTACACTACTACTACTGCTACTGCTGCTGCTACTACTGCTACTACTACTACTGCTACTACTACTACTACTAGTAAACTACTACACTACTACTACTGCTGCTGCTACTGCTACTACTACTACTGCTACTACTACTACTACTACTACTAGTAAACTACTACACTACTACTACTACTACTACCACTACTACTACAACTACTACTACTACTACTACTACTACTACTACTACTACTACTACTACTACTACTACTAGTACTACTACTACCACTACTACTACTACTACTACTACTACTACTACTACTACTACTACTACTAAACTACTACACTACTACACTACTACTACTACTACTACTACTACTACTACTACTACTACTACTACTACTACTACTACTACTACTACTACTACTTCTACTACTACTACTAGTACTAAAACTACTACTAGTACTACTACTGCTACTACTACGACTACTACTACTACTACTGCTACTACTACTACTACTACTACTACTACTAATCTGAGAGAAAAATGCCGCCCGAGCTGGATGTTACATGTACCGCGCCAAAAGCACCGAACTTCGAGTTGGCAACAAGTCCAAGCTGGCTCTTCGAAGGTGCGATGACGGGTGTCAAAAGCTGGGCGAAAGATCGCCAGGCAGAAGCGACAACTGGCGAATTTGTGCGCTTTCCGAACTGGGAAACTCCCTTTCGGCTGGCAAAACAAGGCGTGAGAGAACGAGCCCACAAAGGGCTGTCTGAATGCAAACCGTATTCCTTCCCAAAATATCCATGGCCCTTGAAAGACGGGGTCATCACCCCTTTTCTTTGAGTAAATCACCATCTTGCTTGGGTCCGACCCATTTTTTGTGTAAAAAGGGTCACAAAGACTGTGGGCCCTCGGCGCGACAAATTTTCTGGAGTTCCCTCCCACCCCCGCAGCAAAATGTTGAAGCGCCTGGACATGTTGTAGGTTTAAGCACAAACCCATAAGAGTACATGAAGGTGTTGATTCCCTTTAAACTTGATTGGACATGCTTGCTTGAGCGAAACCCCCCAAAAAAGCCATTCATAATTTGCCAGAAGGTCTCTCCTTGTGGCGATGACACACGAAAGCCATTTGGGGCATTGTTTTGGGAATAGATCCCTTCTCCCAAAAGAGCTTCAAGCAGCCTCGCCTCCCTTGAATCAACCAGGACAATACCAATCCTTCGCATCAAGTAACGTGCAGGTTTCTCTGCAACCAGAAAAACCCTTCTGCTTGCAAAAACCTGAAATCAGAGAAGAAAAAAACACGAGCTTGAGCATCAGTCGCGAACTGTCAAGGGGCCGGAGGCGGCTCTCTTCGGTAGAGACACGATGCGCCGTCTTGCCTCCTCGGAAAAAAAAGAACCAGGGGATGCGGTGAGTTAGAATAAGGGTACCATTTTTTTCTGTAGTCTATTTTAGGGGAACCCTGCCCCAAAAAAAGAAACGGCGTAAAACGGGCACCCTTTTCCTGGGCGACCTAGGGGACCCTTTGACATCAGCTTGGGGGTTTATTTCCACCGGCGTTTTCGGTGCTTAGCCATTCTGACCTTTGCGCGGGTTCAATTCTGATTTCGGATCGAGTACTTTAAAAACGGGGTCATTACCCAAAATAATGGGGTCATGAACCCATTTTTAAAGAGTCATGGAGACTCCAGGTAGAAAGAATATAACAATTGCTCGGATCAAACTTCCGGACATGAGCCTATAATCAATCCAAGCGGGCACTCTAGCCAAAAAAAACATGGAGGAAATCACACGGTGGATTCGAGATTCGCTTTGTTAAAAAAGAGGTCTTGGGGTTTTCCGAACTCATGGACTCTTCGCGGGAGCCCAGGTTCCCGATATTCTTGCCGGGAGCCTCGGCCAAAGCTCGGCCAAGTGATCGCCACTTGGGGGTTTTCACCCCCTAGGATTAACCCCACTTAGGGCGGACTATAACCCCCTCATAACAGGGTTAACCCCACTTAGGGCGGACTATAACCCCCTCATAACAGGGTTAACCCCACTTAGGGCGGACTACAACCCCCTCATAACAGGGTTAACCCCACTTAGGGCGGACTATAACCCCCTTATAACAGGGTTAACCCCACTATAACCCCCTCATAACAGGGTTAACCCCACTTAGGGCGGACTATAACCCGCTCATAACAGGGTTAACCCCACTTAGGGCGGACTACAACCCCCTCATCCACTTAGGGCGGGCTATAACCCACAGGGTTAGCCCCACTTTGGGCGGACTATAATCCCCTCATAACAGGGTTAACCCCACTTAGGGCGGACAATAACCCCCTGTTATAGCCCCACTTTGGGCGGACTATAATCCCCTCATAACAGGATTAGCCGCACATAGAGCGGACTCTAACCCCCTTATAACAGGGTTAGCCCCACTTAGGGCGGACTATAACCCTTTCATAACAGGGTTAACCCCACTTAGGCGGACTATAACACCCTCATAACACAATTAACCCCACTTAGGGCGGACTATAACCCCCTCATAACCCTCATAACAGGGTTAACCCCACTTAGGGCGGCCTCATAACAGGTTAACCCCACTTAGGACGGACTATAATCCCCTCATAACAGGGTTAACCCCACTTAGGGCGGACTATAACCCCTCATAACAGGGTTAACCCCACTTAGGGCGGACTATAACCCCCTCATAACAGGGTTAACCCCACTTAGGGCGGACTATCAGCAAGAGGGAGGCCTACAACCTACTTCTCTGCCCATCAGTCAGACCCGCCCCCCAAGATTTTATAAAATTTCATACCAATCACCCATATCAAAACCCATATAAGTTTCATAACACGTGCCTAACCAACCTCATAATCAAAATGCTTTGAGTTATCCATTTTGATGAATAACTTAAACCATTTCAAACATCTTTAACCTCATTCTTTTCTAAATTTTCTATGTGCTTCCTTGCTCGTTCGTGCCGTGCCTTGTGCTTTAATTTAATCTCACAATCACATACAGAACAGTGATATTATCTCTGTCCGTATTCTTTGTTTATTTCTTGTATTTCTTCCTTATGGTTGTCTCGGTATGTTTTTGAATATACTATTTGCTTGTCTCGGCACTTATCACAAGTTTTATGATTATCTGAAAATAATTCAATCTTTCTATGAACTCGACAATGAGAACAACATTGTTTTTCCCCTTCATCTGCTACTGTTTCTTTCTTCATCGCTTCTCTTTTCAATTTCTTTATTTCTGACTTCCTTCTTTGCTTTTCACGGCATTTATCACAAGTTTTACAATTATTTGAAAATAAATTGTAATTCTTATCTCTTTGACAACCCGAGCAATGTTTCTTATCCATAATCTTCTACTATAATAAGCCATTTACCCTTTAAACAATTTTTAGACAAAATGCTTACCGAAGTGGGTTGAAGGTCCCTTATCCAAACACCCCCAACAACAAAGAAACATAACAAAAAACCAAACAAGGAACAGAACACAGAACATTCCAAA